CGGCACACTAGTGTGCCGCGGCACAGTGGTTGAAAAACACTGGATTATAGGACTGTCTTCCTTCGTTTTTAAACTGAGCATGGTGAGGCAAAGGGAGGCGTGGTCAAGAGAAAAACATCACTCAGTCCAAGGGCAGATAGGCTGTGTTAACCCACGCTTGGACTCTCCTTGCAGTGCCCCGAGAACGACCATTCAGGTAAGCCAACGGTCTTTTTCTTCTAGGAGTTTATGAGTTGGTGACTTATCAGCTGAAACCAGGTGGTCCAGCTTTATGGGGAAATTCATTCAAAGCAGCTATTGATGCACATGTTAGCAAAGGCTATGCAAAACTGATTGGCTTCTTCCACACAGAATATGGATTTCTTAATACAGGTACAGGCTCAAGATTTTTCTTATTTCAAATGCAAAATTATGCTCCAATATATATTTTTATATTCCTATTATTAATAACTTCAGGAACAAGAAAAAAATGTATCAGTTTAGTCCAGATTTAGTCATATTTAAAAGATAATTTCTTTGAAATATTTTTGTTTTGCCCCTTTAAACAAGTTCTGGTCATAGCAAATGACAATGCATCAGCTATATCATTGTAGAATCCCCACTTCTAGAATCCTAAGAATATTGTTTAAATATTTGGAAAAAATCTAGGAGTACAGTGAGCTGGACTGTTGATTCATCTATTTCATGTCTATGCTAATTGGCAGTGGCTTTCTGAAGTTTTGGAAAAAGTTTACCCACTTTGGGGGGGGGGGAGGAAATGCTTTGACTATACCTGAAATTTTAGAACACAGAACATGGGATACAGTTATTTAATTTTAGAACAGGGGAGGCCATCTTTGCAACTTTACAACTAGTGAACTTCAGTTCCCAGAATTCCCCAACCATGCTGACAGGGGAATTTTGGGAATTGAAGTCCTCAAGTCTTAAACGTTGCCAAGGTTGGACATCCTTGCTCTAGAACAGGGGTTGGCAAACTTAAACACTCAAAGAGCCATTTGGACCCGTTTCCCAATGAAAACACCGGGAGCCACAAAGGTCCAAACCAGAAGCCCCCTGTTCAATTGTGGAGCTGACCGGAAGTTCAGTTCCCCCACCAGAGTCTCCTCCTAGTGTGGCGTACTTTTTCTTCTACCTGTCATAACTGAAAGCCCTATCAATTGTGGAGACAACTGTAACACCCCCCCACCTTGCCATAGAGTCTTCTCCTAGTGCACTGTGCTTCTCTCCCTGCCCCTCCACCGGAAGCTCCTCTCAAAATTGTGGTGCCGACCTGTGACGGAGCCACAGCAGAGGGAGGAAAGAGCCACATGTGGCTCCAGAGCGCAGTTTGCTGACCCCTGCTCTAGAACAACACCGTACCTCTATATCATATCTCTGTGACTAGCTTGGTCTTTATAGAATTGTACAGAGACAGTCTCAGGGGCAGGAAATTGTTTGTGGACATTGGAACTTGAATGTCATAATTTTTTCTATAGATGTGCATGCATACCTTGTGCTAGTACTGGGTTCTTGCTTTTACTTTCACAGTTCATGTGCTTTGGTGGTTTGAAAATCCAGATATCAGGGCAGCTGGGAGGCATATGGCCCATGAAGATGCCAGAGTGGTAGCAGCTGGTAAGATATTACTGTGTATCTTGGAATGGCTATCAATGCTTTTTTAAAAGTTTGAGAGTGTGTGTTTTAATTCTTATTTTCAGTTCGGGAGAATATTCAGTTCTTGGAAACCCAGCGAAACATGCTCCTGATTCCTGCATCGTTTTCACCTTTGAAGTAGTTTTATTCCAGTTGAACAAGATTCAAATTATGAGTAAATAAGGACAGTACAGAATATCTGTACTGAAATGTTTAGACCGGAGAATAAAAAAAATGGATATGTCTAAAATAATAATTTCATAATGGTGTTACACTCATATTTAAATAACTTATAAATAAAACTAAAAACTAATTATAAAATATAATAACCTAAGATAAAAAGTTGATGTCACTTATGTTATTTAATCAGGAAAGTCTCATGATTAATGTATAGATTGCAGTGAGATCAAGAAAATCAAGTTTCACTTATTACAGCTGAAATATATTTACATATTTATTCTTGAATATTTGGTGATGGATCTGAACTTTTTATGGTATTTATGATTGCATTATGATTGAGACTGTTAAATGTGAAATTAAATAGATTTTCTGGATTGTGTGTATGCAATTCTATCATTTCCTATCCTGCCACTTGGCAATTTCACTCATTCTGTTTGTGTTACATATCTCTGCAGACTTTTTAAATGGCAGATTGTGGATTCCATATTCTATCCTTTAAAATTCTAAAGGGTATGATGTTCTTCAGTCTAAAAAAATCATGAGCACATTGCAGAATTTTGAAATATTGTATATTTTAATGGATTACATAAAATATTTTACAACCCAGAACTAATTCTAATTCTTATCTTTGGTTGAAAACTGAACTTGAATTGATTCTTCCAGTCATCTTTACTACCATGTGTACCTTTGTGACAATAAACATGAATGGCCCTTTTGTCTAAGTTGATATGTCAGTCTAGACTACGCACCTGCTTTACATTAGAAATAATAATCCATAAACTTGAAAAAGGGCTACAACTGAAGGCATTTTATTTTCATTCATCTTCCTCTTAATGTTTTAATTCAATCAGTCTTTGATTCTGCAGTTCCGTAAATTTGAAAACAAAACAAATGCATGCAAGAATCGTGACTTTTAATTCTGCATCTGATGTGCTCCTCCTGGTTCTGTTCAGATGAGTTGGACAATTCCAATTCCTCCAAATTTGAAGTCCAACCACATCTGAAGGACATCTAGTAGGAGAAGGCTGCCAGACTTAAATAAAGTCACTCGTTGAAGCCCTTTGTCTCATTTTGCCTTAGCCTGAATATATAAACACAGTGATTTGCTATGTGCTGCTGTGTAGGTGAGGCAAAATAAAGATAAGTACTTAAATGTGGATTCACCTTTTCATTATTTTATCTTTATACTGTAACGTCTCAGTCATATGGTGCATAATCCCTAAGGTGACCAGACGTCCCGCTTTTGGCGGGACAGTCACGATTTTTCAAAATTTGTCCCGTGTCCCGCTGCGTGTTCAAAAAGTCCCGATTTAAAAAGGACACCGTTAAAAAAAATTTTTTTATTTCTCTGAAGTGTCGTTCCCGATGTGGCCTTTAGAGGGCAGTGGTTTCCNAAAATAAGACCTCCCCGGATAATAAGCTCAATTGGGCTTTTGAGCACATGCACTAAATAAGCCCTCCCCTGAAAATAAGCCCTCCCCAAAATATTACAACACAGCAGCAGCCCTGAGGTGACCACGCTCACCATCTCCTGCACCTCAAAAAGAATATGACCTCCCAAAAATAAGGCCAAGCGTTTATTTTGGGGGTCAAAATAAAATAAGACCCTATCTTATTTTCGGAGAAACAGTAGAAGATAAAAGTTGGATTCTGAAGATGCAGGATACAAAAAGTATTAACACTTTTGAACTATGGGTTGAAGAAGACTCCTAAGAATACCCATCTAGCCAATAAAATGAACCAACAGAACTTAGACTGAATTAATAGTTATTATTTGAGACACCATTATTATTATAATTTGGATACATGATGCACATACTTAGCTTTCTGGAGAAAACAATATTTGGCAAAAGTGGAATAAAAATGAAAAGAGACAACTAACAGCAACCTAGATGGACTCAGTTATAGCTACAATGAGTGTATCACTGGAAGATCTGAAGGACCATGTTGGTGTAGAGTGTCCTGGAGAAAATTCTCTGTAGGTCAACACCAGTTTGACAGAACATAATCAATCATATTATTACTGCAATCATTTAGAGGAATGGGTAATTTGAAAAATCAGCATGTTCAATAAACAATGAAACAGCGTCTCTTTCATCTCTTTCTCAACAGTGCAGTTAGACTTTGCACACATTTCTGTGAAGTTAATTTGCATAGTGGTTATCTGGATAGTGTCCTTTTTATCAAAATAAGGACCAGCCATAAACTTTCTCATATTTGATTAAATATTCCATGCCCTGAAATAAAATAGCAAATAACTAAGCTGTTTAGAATCTATTCTCTGTTACTGAACTGACAAACATTATATGCAAAGAAAGTTTAGGAAATATCCATTGATATGTGTCCGTGGTGGGTTGCAGGCAATACGCCCTGATACGGGCATACCGGTGCCTGCCTGGAGCATCGGGTACCGTTCTGGTACGGTGCTCCGGAGGGCCAACCTGCCCGCCTGTCTTTAAACTCTTTGGCGCTTCAGCACACAGTGCATACAGCAGCTGGAGCATCACGGAGGCATCACTGGAGGGTAGGACACATGCACGTGCTGCGCATATGTGTGCATGCACTTTGTACATTCTTGTGGAGGACGCTGGGCCCTGTTGCAACCGTACCAGTTGCAACGGGATCCGGAACCCACCTCTGATACGTGTGCACCTGAATTGATTTGTTTGTTGTTCAGAGAGACTGCTACAAAGACGTTCCTGAATAGGACAAATTGGAGTTGGAATAAATAATGGAGTCTGGAGGATTCAATTGCCCAATTTCTATTGAGCAATTTTTCACACGCATCTATATACTTTCTGTTGAGATTTATATCTCAGTGGGAATCCTATTTTCTGAATCAAGACATGTGATAGCTGGATAAAACTGGATTTGAAAATGAGATTCTATAGAAAACAAACTGTTGTTCATGAAGTCTCTTCTCCCCTTCTAAATTAAGAAAATTGCACTCATATTTATTGCCAGTGACAAATGAAATTCAGAGTCATGATGGGCAAATGTGGAACCAGCACAGTACATAATTAGTAATGATTTCCCCCACTGCAAACAGCTAAGCCCAAATAAACTTTCAGAAAGCTTAATCACAGCGTAATTGGAAAGTCAGACATTAAGTTAATGAGAGATTCAGAATAGCAGAGATACAACGGCGATGATAAATTAACAAAGGTAATTACAAATGAATATTATGCAGTTGATTTTAATGCACAACATTTCTTCTCAGGGTGAATAATATTTAATATTTCTATCTACAGATGGTTAGAAGAATGCTGGCTGCCATAAAGCAAATTAATATATTAAGCAATATCTGGCCATAATCAAGATAAATAATGCATTGTGTAACACTTGTTCTGGTGTATTGAGTGAAGCGCAAGCAGCTACAAATCAAGCATTGAATACAAAAAAGGCTTCATTTCAATGGTCAAATCTTAAATTTTAAATGAATCTTAACATATAATTATTGGATATAAATAGATAAATGCTTAAGGGCCAGATACCAGGTGCATATAGATGATTACAGTGTTGTAAGGGTATGTGGGAAAGACCTTGGGAGACAGAGCAAAGAGATGTTAAGTACGGAATAGTCCGGTAAAGGATACCACAGCAGTGTCCCTTAATGGTAAATCTTAAGCAGAGCAGGATAAAATTCTGCTAAACAGAATTTGGCAGCATGCTACTGACCCAGAGTCATCCATGTGAGCAAATAGGATTTGTCACAACGACTAGGCCACCTTCTTTCTCTAAAGAAAATATGCACCTGCAGTTAATTGTAGTTAGAGAGACTTATTATGGATTTAGGCTTTCCTATGTAACATGTTCTCTCATAAACTAAATGTAAGGTGACCAGACGATTTTTCAAAATTTGTCCCATGTCCTGCTGCATGTTCAAAAAGTCCTGATTTAAAAAGGATGCCGTTAATTTTTTTTTATTTCTCTGAAGTGTCATTCCCGATGTGGCCTTTAGAGGGCAGTGGTTTCCCTCCCTCTGCTCAGCTTGCTCACAGGCCTCCCTCCCCTCCTGCTCTTCCGATCATATCTCCCTTTCTTTCGATCTGGTTGTTTTTCTCCGGTCTCCTTTGGTGAGGGGGGGGGGCGGGAGGGGGGGAGAAGATCTGTCATTTTCCTTCTTTTTTTAAAAAAAGGGGGGGACCCAGGATTTATTGCAAATAAAGAAATCCACCCCAAATGGATCGGGAGGCGGGATGGGGGAGGGGAGTGGGAATTAGGGGAAAGAGGGATTTTCCTCCCATGCCTTGGATTTTATTTATTTATTTATTTATTTTTTAAAAAGTTGCTTTTCTTGTATTTTCTTTGTTCGTTTGTTTGGTTGAGGGTGGGGGGATGAGTGGAGAAAAAAAGAGAGAGAGATCTGGGAGCTTGAATTGGTGTCGCTGGAATTGGGGCTGCGGGATGGGGAGGGCAGTGTCTGTGTGTATAATTTGGAAGAGGCGGGGGGATCGAGGAGATTTCCTTCTCTCCGCTGCTCTTCTCTCGGTTCCTTCTGTCGCATGGGGTTGGGAGTGGGTGGGTGGGGGCGTATGATCCACTCTTATTTTTTTAATCTATCCCTTTCCTACCTTGTGATCTCTCACTTAACAGCTGCAAATAAATAGCAATAGCAATAGCAGTAGACTTATATACCGCTTCATAGGGCTTTCAGCCCTCTCTAAGCGGTTTACAGAGAGTCAGCATATTGCCNGATTGTAACCCGCCCGAGTGGTATGAATGTTGTGTTTTTAATTATGTATTGTCTCATATGTCTAAAAGTTTGTCTTTCTCCCCCCTCCCCTTTTTAAGTTGTGAGCTGCCCTGAGTCCCCCCAGGGAAAAGGGTGGCATAGAAATAAACTCAATACCAATACCAATACCAATTTTATTATAAAAAATGTTAACTGTGAAAAAAATCTCAGCTGGCTCCAGTTCCCTGTGCCTTAACACCTCTGGTATTTCTATAACTACTAATCTAATCTTTTACTGTTAGATTAGTTTATTCATGGTTTGAAAGTTTGTTCAATGAACTCTCATTGCATTGACATTTCTCTATTATTCTTTCAACCAAGGTGCTGAAAAGTTTTAGCACTT